CAATCCATCATTTTGAAAAGATTTACAAAACAAACTGAACTATTTATTTAGTATGACCCCAAACAAGAGACTGACCCCATAACATCACCAGCAAAGAGACAAGGTACTTTCGGATTGGCTTCATTTTTCTGACTGAGAAAGTATGTCCATGTTTTATGCTTTATGGCGAAATGCTAGAGTTGGTGCTTAAAAGTGTGAATTGTGTAATTGCAAACGATAGTTTATTTCACGTAACTTAAGCCCATATTTTATAATTAGTATCTATATGGAAAGTACTTGACTGCGAAAACAGTTCTAAGGACATTACAAAATCATCCTTATAATTTCCCAATTGGAAGCAGAACATGTAACTCTGAACTCTTTGAAACAACACAGCCATCTCTGACTCAGCATTGCGAGCATCACATGGAGGATTGATTTGGAACACATGCTCTGCCAGAGGATGACTGAGGATGACACCGTCTTTGACCTTCCAGATGTCAACTGTCTTTGAAACTATCTGTCTCACTATAAGGAAACAGCAATCCAGAAAAACCAGAAGACAACCACTAACCTCAAATCACTGTGTGTTGCTTCATGACATTATAAGACAAACATGGACTACGTAAATCAACAGTACTCATTTCCTAAATGGAAAGAAATTCCAGCATTTCCTAAAGTCCTAGGGTGGGAAAGGCTCCACAGAAAAGACCAACATCAGAAATGATCATTTTCATTTTTTTCCAAGTTCTTTCAAATTTATTTTGACAAGACTTTCATCCCACAGCTGCTCAGCCACATGCTTGAGAAGTAGATGCCTATGCTCTATAAGATCTCTCTCTCTCTCTCTCTTAATTTACATAGGAAATATCACAGTATTCAGTCCATAACACCACAGACCACTGGTATCCTATACTATTCTTTTCGAAATACACACTGCATAGCAGTAATTTTCTTGTTTTGATTTTAACACAAAATTCCTTAACTTGAAAATAATTGATTGTTATTGGTAGATGTTATCAGATTAAATGAAAATGACGTACATACTTCATAGCAGGACCTCAAATTAAATTAGGAACTTGTAATCTCTTACTGTATTAAATTAAGACAAGGCTGAGGAAAGTGCGATTTTCTTGTTTTGAATTTTTTCCCCCTGATAGTACAGTGCTAAAACTTTGTGTGCAAGTGTTTGCTTAGTTGAAATAATTGCTTAAAAATAATTCCTTAAATATAATTATAGATTTCAAAACAGCTTTGACAGAGCAACGCTTTTAAGGTAATGCTAAGGGTTTTTTTTTAATAGCATATCATAAATAATAGTTAGATATTTAACACACGGGCCGGATCTGTTTTATCTATTTAACAGTCATAAAACCAGTGTCCCTCACAGATATGAATCCATTAATCTTCTCTTGCTCTGTTGGATTGATGTATAAACATATAATTATTTTAAAAAAATTAATATTTTAATAATAATAATAATACCAACTTAAAGTAAGTTTACATTTACAATTTAAAAAGTGAACTACAAAACACTCCTTTAGCCTTAATTACCTGAAGTTCTAACATTTAATGAATTTTTGATCCCTCTTATTTTTCTGTTGTTCTTCAGTATTAAATAACATTATTACTTAATTAGTGTTTCCGTCTGTCTGATGACATCACTACTGATATTTCCACATAAGATTCATTGTGTCAGTTTTTTCGTTCGAGGCTTTGGTTTATTTTGTAAAGTTCCAGCTGTTTTTGAGTAATGTAATGTTCTTGGATTCCTGCTACACAGCCGGCATGACAGAATAACGTGACGACTATGGACCCAGCAGCTCTCAGCCCCTCATGATTTATGACAGGATTCATACAGTGCAGAAGTTGTGCAATGATTGGTTGAAAAGCCCCAGTAAGGAATACCAGGGGGCAGCTAATCACAGTCTACAAAGACTGGTTTCTGGCCTTCCTTGGTTATTGGATTTGCTACATCAGTTGATAAAGATGAAGGATTTTGTCATCAAAACTTTTCACCTTTGTCTACCTGCTACAGCTGCCCACACCGCTGGCCATCTCCTGGAAAGGAGGCTTCAATCTCTGAGTTCATCATCATGGCAGCCATTGCTCAGCTCTCCAGCCTCGACATTGCCAGCCTTGACGCTGTAACTGCTCCATCTGCGCCGCTGGCCACACAGTTGGCATTCAGACTATCATCGTCTCCTCTGCCAGCCTAAGACTCTAAGTTTTGAAGCCTGGACAATCACTTGAAATATGTTATGTTTTAGACTGTTTTGTTGTTGTTGTTGTTGTTGTTTTTGTTTGTGTGTTTGTTTGTTTTTCCTGGACATGCAGTCCTGCACAGTATATACGTTGGCCTAGATATCAAATAAACAGTAAAAGGAACCAATGTTTTAAATATTGCTTGATTAAAAAAACAACATCTCTTTCATCTTTGGATTTTTACTGTACGGTAAAATCAGTATGTATGTTTAACAGTGACATCATGGAACATTTCAAATTGTTCCCAGGATGGCTATAATTTTATGTGACATGACTTGAGCCCATTTAGCTGCTGATGGCCCCAAATGAAGGTGCTACCAAGGAAAAGGGACTGTCAAGTGTAATGCTTGTTTTGTGTTTACACTTGTTTTATTTAGGGGGTGGAAACGGCAATGATTTTTTTTTATTTTGTTTTGAGGTGAGACGGTTTGTTCTCCCCCCCAAAAGAAAGACTATGTAATCCTTTCAGTTTGTTTGTTTGTCTGGCTGCCTGTTTTTTGGCAGTTTAATGTCCACAGTTTTTAAGATATCATGCTCAGATTTTGTGTAATGGTAGATACCAATAACAGCTCAAGGTCAATCCGGTCAAACCAAAAACCTTAGCTTATCCACAATTTTTTATGGGTCTTCTTTATACTTTACAACAATGTGCTAGGTGTTGGGGGACATGAGTACCTAGGTTGGCTAAGCATTTGACCTTGACCTTCATCGTAGGTTACCAAGATCAAAGCTGACCTTGGAAAAAAATCTCCAAGAACCCATATTTAGTAATGTATCATATGAAAGGGCATGGAGAGAGCTGTACAACACACTTTTTATTTTTTTCAGTACAAAACTCTATGACATTAGAATGATCACAAAAATACACACTGCATGAATGCCTAAAAGCTCAAAATTCTCATGTAATGATTTTGGCCAATTATTTTAGCCAGTTCTGCTTTAATCATGTGGGTAAAGATAACAAAATACCATTTTAGTATGTAATGCTTCACAGTCATTGGTCAAAAGTCAGACATCAGCATGTTGTTATAAAAGCAGGCTGACGTCAGCAAACGGTAACAAAAACATTGTGGGGGGGGCTGTCAAGCGCTCAGAGTGCTGTTGTTGTAAATGGTTTACATACAGTTAGCCACATATATATTTGATCACTGACACAAGCTTTGTTTTTGTTTTTTTACCTGTTTACTGAAACATCCAATTATAGTTGTACAGTTATAGTTATATATGGACATAATGTGTCTCAACTTTCATTTGAGGGAAGTTTTGTCATGGTTCTGGGTCATTTTGACCCAGCTTTTTCTGTTTCTTATGTGTTGGTGTTTTTCTGATTATGATTTATGTTCTGATTATTTAGTGATACTGTTTTGATTATGGTTATTATTATTATTGCAGGTTTAGTTCCGTGTCAAGTCTGTCTCACTCTGTCTAGTCCGTGTCTTAGTAAAGTCTTGTTTCTTGTTTTACTTTGAAGGTTCATGTTCATGCCTGATGTCAATGTGTTCAGTTTTACTTTTCCCCTCGTTAGCCTAGTTTCTCCCAGCTGTGGCTCCCTCCTGTTTCCCATTCCCTGATTACCGCCCTGTGTATAGAAGCCTTGTGTTTTCCTGTGCTCTCTGTCGCGTCGTCTGTGTTACTCCGTGTCAGTCTGCATTACTCTGTGTAACCCGGTGTTCATTCTGCGGCTCTCTGCCATCTTTCTCTGTGCATTTTGCTCCTCCTCCCGTGAGTGTTTGGTTTCAGGTTAGTTCTTTAGTTTTCCCCAGTTTAGGTTTGTTAGCTCCCCGCTCTGCTCTTCCTGTTTTTCCCACTTTGTCACTTCTGTAAATAAACACTCACTCGCACCCCAGCCAGTACCTGCATTTTGGATCCTTTTCTCAATACACTACACGACTGCTGCCCCAGCCGTGACAAGTTTAGGAGTTTCAGCTCCTTAACCTGTGCATGTTACACCCTCTTTAAAAACCAAAAGTCAACCAAAAGTGATTGAACGATTGACTCAAAGGCAATTTTATGCGTGGATGTGGGCAGTTCTTTTGTTATATCTTAATCAACTAAGCAGATAAAAGGCATTGGTTTTGGAGAGAAGGAGTTGATTTGGTCAATTGTGAGAATGAAAGAAAGCAACTCAGCAATGAAGAAAGACCTGGAAGTCCACAGAAGACAACAGTATTTGCCTGGTGAAGAGAAACCCCTTAACAACAGCCAACCAAGTGACCACTCTGAAGGAAGTCGGCATCCATATCCAAGTCTACCATAGAGAGAAGACAGCATGAAAGTAAATGCAGAGGTTTCACTGCAAGATGCAAGTGACAAGCCTCAAGAATAGAAATTATGGATGCTAACAACAACAAAAAAAATCCACCAAAATTCAGAAAAAACATTCTTTGGACAGATGAAATCAAGCGCAACCTATACCAGAATAATGGCTAGAAAAAAATGTGAAGGTGTGGAACAGCTCATGGTTTAGTTGTAACTCTATAAAACATTAGAGCATACTGTGTCGTGTGAAATTTTGAAAATGTAGCAGTATTATAAAATATCATAAATAAAAAGGTGTTTTGGTTATTCTTCTGAAAAGTTTGGAAGCATCACAACATATAGCTTATCTGCCTTATATGAAATCTAAAGAATACCATTCTAATGTAACACTATAGTAAGTGTTAGACCTCGTTGAGACTGTATATTTGTCCCCAGTGTGAAATGCTTTCTACCATGAAAATATCTGTTCCCATTGTGAGATTAAAACACGGGCTGACCTGTCTTAGCAGAGTGGTTGTTCTCCTCCTGCTTGAGGATCTGATAACATTCTTCCTCAGCCTTCATGTGCTGAACAACCAGAGCGCAATCTGGGTGGATGGCCTCTGTCTGAAGGCGAGAAAAAAAGCTTTCATCACAGTCCAGTAACACAGAAAGACACACAGAAGTGCAGAAATACCATAATTTTCTTTTACATGACATGATAATGGCAAAGATAATGTTATTAATCAGTAGTTCAGTAGTGGTTGTGTTTTGGACTTTGTTATACTATTGACCATATATTAAAGAAATATCATATGGAACCTGTTGTTGGCCTCTCCCAAAAGTATTACTTATTTTTATTAAAGGCTTTAATAAGACACATTGTAATGTAATATTCACCACATAGAACAATTCTTTGATATATATATATATATATATTTGTATTTTGCCAGAAACGCTAGAATCTCAGCTTAAACCTCACAAATTATTTCAACAACCACCAAACACAAAATCGCACTTCCTGCACAGCTCTCTTCCCCTCTCAATGTACTTCAAGAACAGTTTCCCATTTAAAAATCTCTGTTTTCTACATTATTCACTTGCTTTTTACACACCAGTCTACCATTGGGTACAAACAAGAAAGCCTCAGTACCGAAGAAATGTAAACTTTTTAAAATTATGACAAATTGCAAAACTCTTAGCTGTGACTCAAAAAAAACCTCTGTAACTTTGCACTGCTTCAATCAGGTAATGTTCATATGATGATTAATGGTTTTCTTCAGTTTTCTTCAGGGTCTTCGGAGGAGGGGGACAGCCTGTCTATCTCTGGGGGTGAGGTCACTGAGGCAGTTAAACAACTCCTTGGTGGCAGGGCCCCTGGGGTGTCTGAGGTTCACCCTGAGTTCCTGAAGGCTCTGTATGTTGCAGGGCTGTCTTGGTTGACACCAATGTTCCCTAACCCTGCTGGCACGGTCTCTGCGCACAGAAAATCTGTGTTGCGCGCAAAAAAGAAATCTAACCTGAATTGAAATTAAAACTAATACTTTAACAATTCTGTTTTGCACTGTTAGTCAGTAAGTGACTGGCTGCTCCCATATGGGATTAGAACAATGCCACCTTATCCCATAGTCCAGCCAATAATAATGTTTTTATTAGTTTTTATTGTGTTGATAAGCCACGTAAACCCAGACTTATGATAAAATTATCTGCAATGTTTGGTTTTCTTTCTGAATACTATCGTTGTTTATATTTACTGCGGGAAGAAACAGTAAATACATTTTATAAGGAAAACGCTCGAAAACGCCTGTGGTCAAAAACAAAAACAAAAAAACCCCCACCCTTTCCTATTGGTGGAACAATGTACCATGTCGACCAGTCAAAAAATGATATGGCAACATGGCATTTAGTGGTTTAGAAAGGGGGACGTTTTAGGAGTGACGGCGGTGTTTTGAGATGTGAGAGATTTGCGCAAATCTTGTGTAGTTAGTGTGTAGTGTAGTCAATAGTTTTGTTGTGTGTGTCAGAACAATGAGGCAACTTCTGAATGTTACAGGTGTTACAGGAGTGATACATCTCCTGTTGTCAGGCCTGCAGGTATCAGGCTGTTGTTCTCCTTTATCTCATAGTGGACAGAAATTATTTTTTGGAGTGGCACAAATAATTTGTGTGGCATCAAATTTGATGCAGAACAGCTGATTGTTCTGTAAATATTTTGAAATGTTTATTTAAAAAACTGCATTGGCTGCATTTTTAGGTAAACAGCTGCAAAAAACTTCATTGTTTGCATAACTCAGTTACTTTTTTGAAGAAGTAACTATATAATTAATTGCCCAACATTGGTCATTATATACTGTATTTTGCAGACAAAGAGTTACAGACTCTCTCCCAGACCACAGACTCATAATACAAGTCAGAGCTTTATATAAAAAAAGAAAAAAAAAGAAAGTTGTGTTTTCAAAATTGGAGTTCAAGTTATTTTTTACTTCCAATAGTGTTAACATACTACACAGATCATGAACAAGATTTTTTTTTAAATTTTCATTGTAAGTGTGCCAAAGCAGTTAATTAAAAGTAGTCTAACATAAATGCAAATGCTGTAATTTGCTTATTTTAATAAACCATGTAACTTGGTTGGATTCAATGCTGGCGTGACCACAGTGCACACGTCTGATGTTGCTCGCAGTGGTCCAACGGACCGCTCAGGGAGTTTGTGTGTTCGCTCAGACACATGAAAAATTAGAGGGAACATTGGTTGACACTGCTCTACAAGTTGCGTGTATATCAGGGGCAGTACCTCTGGATTGGCATATCGGGGTGGTGGTTCCCATCTTTAAGAAGGGGCATCATACTTCTCAGCCTTCCCAGGAAAGTCTATGACAGGCTGCTGCAAAGGAGAGTTGGTCCGGTAGTCAAACCTCTGATACAGGAGGAACAACGCGGTTTTCATTGTGTCATGGAACACTGGACCAGCTCTTTACTCGCTCGAGGATACTTAAGGGTGCATGGGAGTTTGCCCAACCAGTCTACATGTGTTTTGTGGACTTGGAGAAGGCATTTGACCATGTCCCTCTGAATGTCCTGTGGGAGGTCCTTGGGGATTGGGGTGTCTGGCCTATTGCTACAGGCCATTTGATCCTTATACAACCATTGAAAGAACTTGGTCCGCATAGTCAACAATAAGTCAGACTCGTTTCAAGTGGGTGATGAACTTCGCCAGGGTTGTTGTTTGTCACCAATTCTGTTTGTAAAAAGACAAAATTTCTAGGCATAGCTAAGTGGTGGAAAGCTTTCACTTGGTTGGTCTCAGAATCTCAGCTCTGCCTTTCGCAGATGATGTGGTTCTGTTGGCTTCATTGTGTGATGGCTTCCAGCTCGCACTGAAATGGTTTGCAGCCGAGGATGAAGTGGTGGGAATGAGAATCATCACCTCCAAATTTGAGGCCATGGTCCTCAGCAGGAGGAGTGTTCATACCAGGTCAGGGATGAGTTCCTGTCCCCAGTAGAAGAGTTGTCTTGTTCGCAAGTGACAGCAGAAGGGAGCGGGAGATCGACAGATGGATTGGTGCCACAGCAGCAGTCAAGCGGACGCTGTTCCAGTCCATTGTGGTCAAGAGAGAGCTGAGTGTAAAAGTGACATTCTCAATTTACCGGTCGATCTATGTCGCTATCCTCAGCTATGGTCACGAACTGTGGATCAAAAAAACATGATCACGATACAAGCGGCAGAAATGACCTTCCTCCGAAGGGTGGCTGACATCTCCCTCAGAGATAGGGTGAGAAGTTCAGCCATCTGAGAGTGGCTCAGAGTAGAGCCTCTGCTTCTCAACATTAAAAGGAGCCAAGTATACCATGCCCAGTCTCTTTGGTACACCATTTGACCTTAGAACTGAAGAAGCTTCTCGGATGAGAGGTGAAACGTCTTCAAGCAACTTAAAGAAATCCAGACGCTTTTCTTTGCAAGCTCCTTTGACTCTTTGGTACATAGTTGGCCTTTGGTCCAGATGGAATCTGGAAGAAGAAGACAAGGTCTCTCCTCACTGTAACAGCACCATGTGATGGATCACTGCCACACCTGCTCTCAAGAAACCACTTGAATAGGACCTGCCAGACAAAGTGGAGTAAGACTCACAAAAGCCAGATATCATGCAGCAATCCAAGGAAATTTAGGAACAAATGAGGAACAAAGTAACTGAGATTTCTCAGGTTATAAAGCTGTTTCTAAAGCTGTGGGACTCCAGGAAACAACAGTGAAAGCCATTATCCACAGATGGCAAAAACGTGGAACAATTGCGAACTTTCCCAGCCAACCAAAATTAGCCCATGAGCGCAGCAACGACTCATCCAAGAGGTCACAAAAGACCCCAGAACAACACATCCTCACATGCCTCAATTAAGGTCAATGTTTAGAAGGGCCTGCATCGCACAGTTACAAGACAAAAACCACTGCCAAGCAAAATGAACACAAAGGCTCGTCTCTGTTTTGCCAGAAAACATCTTGATGATACAATATAAAAACAACATTGTTAAATAAACATAGCACAGTAATAAAATAGCAAAAGTAGTTGATCAAAAATAGCGCATTATAATGCAAAGGATTCAGTTTGATGCGGAAATGTTTATGACATCTTATATAGTGATTATTGTATGTATTTGTCACAAAAAGAACTGTTGTACAGTTTTATGGCAAACCATAGTTTTTTGAGGAATCCTTTATAGCAGCTTTATACCTTAAATAGGTCTAAGAGAGAATGGTAACAGATTATTTGTCAAGACGGAGAAATGTGAATTGCATTGTCTATCCTGGGCTGTATCATTAAGCAGGGCAACCTCAAACCTGGCCCAGACATGGTCCAAGCGGTGGTGGACTGGCCAGAACCCTCTGACTGGAAACAGCTCCAGTGTTTTCTGGGCTTCATTAGTTTCTACTGTTGTTTCATCCGAAACTTTAGCCAGATCGCTTCACCTCTCACACACCTAAATTCTTCTAAGGTGCTTTTCAGTGGGACTAGGCTGCTCAAACCATTTTCAGTAACGTTGAGCAATGCTTTGCCTCACCTCCTATCCTGTCTTCACCTGTCTCTAACCAGTTTATTGTAAAAGTGGAGGCTTTGGACTCGGGAGTGGCAGCTGTCCAACAGTATGAAGGTAAGCTTCATCTTTGTGCCTACTTCTCTCATCATCTCTTCCCCAAAGAATGGAACTATGATGTAGGGGACAGATTGCTCCTGGCAGTCAAACTCGCCTTGGAGGAGTACCAGCACTGGCTTTATCGTCTGGACGGATTACAAGAATTTTGCCTACCTTCAAACTCCTAAATGGTTAAACGCCTGGCAAGCCAGGTGGACTCGGAAAAATGGAAATGAGTAAAAAACAATCACCTATAGCACCAGATCACACAACATCTAGCCCGAAGCTCTGTCCTGGCAATTCTCCTCCTTAGAAGGAGCTCCAGAGGATTCTCTGATCCTTCCAGCCTCCTGCACCATCAGGGCGATCTCTTGGGAGGTCAAGTAGGTTTTTGTTCAGAACCAGACCCCAGGACTGTGCTGCTCCACTCCAACCACAATGAGCGCCCAACTCGCCTGGGTCGAGTATGTCCACAACAGCCTCACCTCCTCGGCGACTGG